AGTATATATATTATATATATATATTATATATAAGTATATATATTATAAGTATATATATTATATATATATATTATATATAAGTATATATATTATATATACATATTATATATAAGTATATATATATATTATATATAAGTATATATATTATATATATATAATATATATATTATTTTTTCCTTTACACATGTGTTCTTTGTTTGTGCAAACAATTAAATTTAAAAAAATTAATAATAACGTGACTTCTCATGTTTTCTATTTTGCAATCCTGCTCAAGTTGTTTCATGTTTATACCTACATTGTAGAACGTGTTGCACACACTTAATAAAAACTAGACTCCTGTAAAATGTTTTATTTGGACAAATGTGAACAAATTTTTGTTTTGTTTTTCTTTAAAATAACTGACTTTAAAGGTTGAAAAGAATGAGAGAAAGTTGAGAATGATCCTACTGCACCATTTCTTGCGTTTATTCAATTGAAACACATTTTAGCACCTTTTCAAGGATCAGAGTGAGAAAAAAAGTGTTACCTGCAAAGCTTTGTTGTCAGTAGTAGATGCTGAATACATGTTGATGGCCTCTTGAGCTTTGGGAGGCTCGCTGTTTTCTGGTGGCTGTGGCTCTGGAGGTGGAGGAGGTGGAGGAACCGGCTGACAATCCGCAGGTTGCTGAGGAGGGGGAGGAGGAGGATGATGATGGTGTTGGGGTCCCTGATTGGGAGCCGCGAGGCGAATCTTATGCATTTGAGCCGGGGTGTTTTCTTGATTTAAGTACGACTGAACACCCCCGTCCTCGACGTGTCCAGTACTTTCTGAATGCCATGACGATGAGGCCGGAAACCCACCTGGGGGTCCGCCACTGAACGCAGGGTCATTATTACCGTGATGTAACACAGACTGTAGCTGCTTTTTGTGCAGCATCTGAAGCTGCTCCATTTGTTGGCGGTGCTGCTCCTCGAGGCTGGAGAACAGCGAGCTGCCGGAGGCGGCCTCGAAGCCACCGTACCCCCCAGCTTGGCCTGCATGACTGCCCACTGGATGTTGACGAGGCCCGGACCCTCCATAGTTCTGCGACGGAGGGGCACCGTAGTTTCCCCAGGACGGATACATTGCAAAACAAACCCGTATCACGAGGTTACATACAGTCGGCCCAAACGTGCTAACAAAAGCTACCAGCTAACGTCGACCTGCGTTCTTCAGAGGACAATAGCTACATTCTTGGTAATTTTTCAACCATCTGCACTTTAAATAAATGGACAAAAACAGCTAAATAATAGCTATTACAGGGTATAATATATAGCTGGCTATTTTTTTAAAGAAATATTTTACATTAACGTTCACGCTTCATGTGGAATGGCCGACGCTACAAAATGAAGCAAACGGCTAAAGACGGAAATACGTCAGACATTATGTGACAACATCCGGTACATCAAAATAAAACTAAATTCTCATTAATTGTTTTTAATTTATTTATTTTTCCCCTCCAAAAGCAAAAGTATTATCACGCTAATATGCGGAAGGTGATTAGGGCCACGTTTGAAATATATATATATATTTCCAGAATTCTGATTTTTTTTCCCCCTCCTCAGAATTCTGAAAAATAAAATAAAAGTCATACTGTGGCCCAAATCTCCTTCCGTACAAAACTGGTTGTCGTTGTTTTATGGATATAGCTCTACAAGATACACAAACATTCTTATTTATTTCTTCATACATGTTTCGCTTATCAACCATATTTTTTATCTGTGCAAAACACAATTTGGACCATCTTAATAATAAAGGAACACAAGTTTGTTTGATAAACAACAAGAAGGCAGCTAATTAATAAAGTTCATAAAGAATGTTTACATTCATTTTCTTCTCTATATTGCTGAATTCTATCATCTTTCAAAACAGGTTTCTGACTTTTATAAAGCTGCCACTAGAGGGAGATATTTACAAACATATTAGTTCACAATAAAAACTGATCAGAACAGAAAAGGAAAAATGGCTTGATTGCTAAATAAAGTTTTTATTGCTGTCTAGAGTGACATAATGACCAATTCCAACCATTTTATTGCGAATTACTATAGTTTCTAAGTCAAACTGCATTTCAAAAGAAGACATTTATAATTAATATCTGTGAACTTTTGAAATAGGCTTACAGTGTATTGCTAAGAGTAAGTTTTATTCAGTGACTTAAAGTCAATCTTTTCAAGTTCAAATGTTCTCTAAAGACATTGTGTTTATAGGAGGAAAACACAAGAGAGAAAGAGGGAGCAGAGGGAGGTACAAGACCGTTGACTTTACGTTGCCCTTGAAGCATAATACACATAAAATTATTTTCCTTACCGTCACCAGTAAATCTGTATTAATTTTGACCAGAACCACTTAAAAAGAATCATTAAAGCGGATTAATCAAGCCGGTCCTGTTTAATGTCTCCCGTTAATTAGTTTGTCAGCAGTGTTTTAATATCGCCTAATGACTTCATATTTCACCAATGACATTCAATGATGTTAAAAGAGAAGAAATGGCCCATTCAGGCCTCAGTTCTTTCTCTTAAGACAACCTGGATGAATAAGACAAGGTCAGGGAGGCCTAGCCTTTAGGGAGAGATAGATTATCAGGGGAAAAGGGGATATAGGAGAAATCCCATAGAGGAAGCTTGCTCCCCTCTAAAACAGCATGACGGGCACAATGTGATACAGTTCAGCCTTGGAACAATACACTGCACAAGGGATTCGTGATACAGCTTAGGGCAGCCACACTGTATAGGATGGCAAAGAGTCCCACCGTGTACAACAATACAGACACTTGGGACAAATGCTTTTTTTGATCAGAGGCTGATGAATACTTCTAAAAATGTGAGGTGGGAACAATCACAAAGATTAAAAGAAATATCTCGCAATGCAAAGTTGGTTCTTTTAGCTCTCCGTCAGCACTTTAGAAAGCTTTCCAAGCAGGAACAAAGAAATCAGAAATCGTAAAGTTGATATTGAGGACACGGCGTTTTCTCTGTGATGAAAATCCTATGTTAAACAAAATGTTCAATGGAGGCTAATGGATCCCCAACAAGTCCATGCACTGCTTCTAAAATGCTTTGTTTGACAAATCAATTTTCCCATAACCCGGTGAGGAAAAAAGTGATGCAGATTGATTGACCCCCCCTGACTTTGTTTCCAGAATATTGTTTGATGGCTGGATAGATTAATTGGTGTGACATTTGAAAGCCTCCTCTTGACTGTCAGCATCTAAGCTTCTACTCACCAATCGAACCGTGGTCTAATTGTCTCCTCTGTAATACCTCCATTCACAAATTAGAGACGGTTCCTCTATAAACTCTTCCCAATGTAAGAACAAACAACATCCCGCTGCTTAATCAGATATAGGTTTGAGGAAGCAGGAGGGGGTGATGCTGGCTGATAAGACAGAGTGCATTAAAGGGCATCACCCAGATCGCTGTGCCAGCACATCTCACAGTGAATACACAAATCAGAACCAGGCAGGTGCTCAAGTCAACAGGCTCATCAATCTTTTATAGGTTGGGTTGGAATTTTGGGCATTTACATGGAGGCAATAACAATAAAAACAATAACAATGAGGATCTGAATCAACACATTTGAAAATATGTTTATTATTCAAGGATTCAAGGTTCTTTATTTGGCATATGCACCACATGTGGTACATGTGGTGGGACGAAATTGTGTACACAGGGCCCCAGTTACATCCAACAAAAGTATAAAATCCATCCATCTTTTACCCGCCTCTTCCATTTTGGGTCATGGGGGTCGTCGGTGCCCATGTCCAGCAATCATTATGTGAGGGGCGGGGTACACCCTGGACAGCTCTCCAGTTCATCACAGGGACACATGGAGACAAACGAGACAAACAAACATTCAGTCTCTCACTCACACCTAGCGACAATTTAGAGTTATCAATCAGTCTAACATGCATGTTTTTGGTCTGTGGGAGGAAACTGGAGTACCCGGAGAAAACCCACGCATGCACGGAGAGAACATGCAAACTCCACCCAGAAAGGCCCCTGGCCCGGGGTTTGAACCAAGGACCTGCTCACTGAGAGGCAGCAGCTCTACCAGTTGCGCCACCGTGCTGCCCCTCCAAAAAAATAAAAAAATAATAAAAATAAAATCAGTATATATATATATATATATTAAACAACCCATTAAAATACACCAAAATGCATGAAATCACATCTACTTTATTCAAAATTTTCTGGGGATGGATCCCCTGACCCCCCCCCCCCCCCCACCCACCCCCTCCCGCTATTTGCGTACCAGCATATGAATATTTTTTTTTTCAGACCCCAAAGCACTGACTCGCGGACCCCCGGGGGTTCTGGGAACACCAGTTTGAGAACCACTGTTTTACAGAGTCACATGCAGGATTCATTTGAACACGAACGTGAATTCTCATTTTATGATTTGAATGTGCAGCACGGTGGCTCATTGGTAGAGATGTTGCCTCTCAGCAAGAAGGTTACAGGTTCAAATCCTGGCCCGGGGCCTTTCTGGGTGGAGTTTGCATGTTCTCTCCGTACATCCGTGGGTTTTCTCCGGGTGCTCCGGTTTCCTCCCACAGACCAAAAACATGCATGTTAGACTGGTTGGTAACTCTAAATTGTCCCTAGGTGTCAGTGAGTGAGAGAGTGAATGGTTGTTTTTCTCATTTGTCTCTATGTGTCCCTGTGATGGACTTAAGACCTGTCCAGGGTGTCCCTCGCCTCTCGCACATTGATAGCTGTATATGGGAACCAGTGACCCCTGTGACCTCAAAAGGAAGAAGCGAGTAAAGATAATGGATGGATGATTTGGATGTGCTTTTTGTTGCCTCATCTTTTTTTTTTCTTTTTTTTAAATTGTTATAAAAATGTAGAAATTACTGTAAGATTCACAAATGTCTCATAGCTTTTTTTCTTTTTTCAAAGTAAAACAAGAAATACATCATTCTGAATCAAATCAGACGGTTGGTGGGGCACATGCTCTCCACATTTCATCACCATTTATTTACCATTCAAAATGACTAATTGCCCCACTTGGTTTCAATAGTGGGCCGGGCTCCTCGCAGAAAAGGCTGCTCAGAAGGGCCTCTTCATTCAACACACCGTCCCGTATATTACCTCAACACACCCACATGCCTTTGAAAAACTGTAATTGAATGAGTTTATGTCGTCAAATTGATTAATCATATTAATTTGTGCTTGTTAGTGGGATGGTTGAGAGCGGTGAAAATTAGATTAATGAAATTAGTTAATTCTTCTTCCAACACCAGACTCCCAAATACAGCCCAACCTTTCTTTAAAAAAAGAGAAAAAAGAGAATCTGTTATGACAAAATTAGCAATCAAGATTTGGCTGCTAATTGAATGTCTTCTTTTATTAATGATAGGTTTATATAAAAAAGACCTTGAGAAAGGAATAATAATTAATTTATCAGAGTGCTCCAAATTATGTGGAGAGTTTACAAATCAGAAAATTTCCAATACATTTGATTGTGAATATATATTGTTCTGCTAAAAACTGGTCTCAGAACTTTCTGTTACAAACATTACTGCAAACGAAATTAAATATATTTCATTTATTTGTAGTATGCACGTTTGAAGTGCATGAATAAAACATGTTGGTAGGAATAAATGGAAGGATTAACACACATCCCAGTTATCAAAGGCCTTGAATATCTTGAATGGAATGCATATCGCCCGCTGCATTTAACACTAAAATCACTTATGTTACTAAATGTTGGATGTGAACGAAAGTCATGCAATATATTAAGAATTACAACAGAAGTCTTCTCAGGGCACTGAACATAAACATTCATATGTAAAAATAATAAGTTAACACTAAATATCTGAAGAGCAGACTGCTTTGAGTTTAAGTTCATTGCATAACTCTCATCTTGAGCAAGCATGAAGGCGACAGTGGAAAGGAAAAACTCCCTCATGAGGAAGAAACCTTTAGCAGAACCAGGCTCAGGACAAGCGGCCAGCTGCTTCAACCAGCTGGGTTTGAGAACAGAAACAAAATGGCAGTTCAAGAATCATATCAGATATAAATAATTTCAAATGAACTATTCAATTGCAACAATTCATTATAAGAAAAGAGGTAAATTTGTCTTCCAGTAGTCTAAGGTTATAGCAGCATAACAAGCCAACCCTAATTACAGTAGTCCCTCGCTACTTGGTGATTTGTTCATCGCAGACTTGCTCTATCGTTGTTTTTCAAAATAGGATTGGACATGACACAATGAGCTCACTGATGGATGAGCCGCACGGCTGGCATGAAATTTTAATTTAAGTATATCCATCCATCCATTATCTTTACCCGTTTATTCCATTTTGGGTCACGGGGGTCGCTGGTGCCCATGTCCAGCAATCACTGTGCGAGGGGCGGGGTACACCCT